GTTATCCCTTGGGATACCCGGATATCTGCCAGGTTTGGGTGGAAAAACAGCCATCAACAGCCGAATCCACACCCGCTGGCGGGTATCTGCTGGCACTGGCGGATACCCGCCAGCGGATAGCGGATATCCGTGGCGTATTATCCGCAACCATCTCTAATCAGATTAGTGGCATTCAAATCAACAGATCTCTACCGCTTTCAATTCTTACACAATGCAGATAGTATTATGCTCAATGGTGTACTTTTAAGATAAAATACGGCTTTTGAACCCAGATATTTAGGTGTGCCCTGTTGGTCATGAATAGTACTGAAACCCATTCCAGGGCTATCTGGGAGCAAATTGTTGCAATAAGAAACAGTAACTGAACATGTGTGTAGATAATTAAAACAGGACAAATCAATGATCACTAGATGAAAAGTGCCATCAGGGTAAGTTGAGCATGCTCATTACATATTCATCTATTCATCCTAGCTCTCCCTGGGCCCACTGTAGCACACAAAGGGGACATGGTGGTTATGTTGCAAAATAGTTGGAGAGATACAGAGGTGCAATGATCAATGTTACTTGATGCCACTTGCCACCTAGTGAGAATTGAATTCTCCTGGTGTTATTTACTTGTCAGAAAACAAAAGAAAAGAGGAGAGGTTAATGTAGAGATCATTCGCCCGTACTTTTTGCAGGTACCTGGTACCTCCTGGGGGGTACCCCTCACACCCGCCCCACACCCTCCAGGAGGTGCCAGGTGTGGTACTTGGTACCTATTTTTGTGAAAAATTGAACAGGTACTAAGTTACCGCTACAGGTAACCCCTCACTTCCTTACCAAAAATGATGGTGGCCTTCTACTCCAAGAAGGTACCTTGGCTGCATGGAAACAGGTACTCAAGGATAACAAGAAGTCTAACCAAAAATCAAAAAGGAAGGTGATAGTTTTGGACGACAATGAAGATTATTCCAATTGGTTATAAGTTGTAGATAGTTTAAACTTTACAATAAATTATTAAATATGAACAAATGAGAAAAGTGACTTGGTACTCTGGGAGTGAAACTAGGTGAGAAAGAGAGGGGAGGTACCTGAGGTACCTGCAACAGGTACCTTGGCCCCTTGGGTACCCCCCAGGAGGTGTCTGGTGTGGTACATGGTATCTATTTTCTTGAAAAAATGAACAGGTACCTAGGTATAAACAGGTACCTAGGTCCAAAAAAACAATCTCTAGGTTGATGGGGGAGTCCCAACCAGACTGGTGTAGTTTCAGTTTTCAATGATGTTATTCTTATTGTTGTCATTGTTAACCTGCCAATATGGAGCAGAAGGTATTCCATGTCATCCCAGCATTGTCAAAGAGAATGAAGTGAACACACAGGTGGGTATGCCAGAGGCTGTGGTCTGTATGTTCTATCTGTAGCCTACTTGGAGCTTGTGGGCATCCACTCCAGGGTCCACCACCAAATCAAAACAAAAAAAAAACACATTCTGGAAACCTCTTCAAGTGGTTTTCCAAATATCATTTTTTGAACTAATTTGGACAAAGTGTCAGAGAGTGAGTCACCCTAATATTTTTTAAACTAGTTTGAAGAAAAAAAAATGTGGGAACCACTTGAAGTGGTCCCCAAAATGTTTGTTGAAACAAAAGATGTTTCTCAAACCAGCCAACCAGAAATATTCCCAACCCACACTTCTCAACCAAAAAGGTTTTTGAAACCACTCCAAGAGCCTTTCATAGTGCACCCCTGGTGTAGGGTCCAGGTGGCCTGAATTTGACACCCATATGATAGGCATACCAACAGGACATGACATGGGCCAGCTCAAATCAACTGGGTTCTAGTGCCTAGAACCAGCAGCAACATACTAGATAGAGGCCAACTTGAAGCACAAATTTCAATGCCACTCATTTCACTAATTTCAGTAAACACATGAAAACATAACTTGAAAAAGCACACTTGGGGATTTGTTTACCAATCTGACTAGAAACTCTGTTGCATCTTAATCCTCACACAAAACACAAAACAAGATATTTACATGTGCTATCTGATTGGAAATGGCAGTTTTTACTCAGGAGACTTTCTGTTGATATGTATGCCGCAACTGTGCTCAAGATTCCCTATCAGATCTTGTAACACTGGACAATGTTATTTTTTTCCAGACCTGGCAAAAAGGTTAGATTGAAGCAATTGGTTTGTGCTGGGGCGCCAAGGTGCGACTGAATGAAACTGGACGCGCAGTATGTAGGCGACGAGGGACGTGACCATTTCGTGTACCATATCGACTTACATGCACCCCGAAAGCTCACGCGAAGGGCTGGTGCTTTGAGAACCGAACAGCTCGGACGGTGAGGGTGGAGACAGATGGCGATCGATCGAATCTTTGGGTGAGTGGATAAGTTCCAAGCAAGTATCTATGTCTCCTCGCTAATCGATTTTTTGGGGGACGATGGTCTTACTTGAAGTTATGGATGTATGTCTGATTAAAAAATGACGCGTTTCTTCTTGCTTCCCCTTCCCATATTATCTTCTTTGTTGATATCGATACTTACCACCTATCCTTATCCTATCCAACTTGAACACCCACAGCTCTAATATGGAAGCCGCCTCCATTCGTTACTGGTCGCACACCGTGCTACGTTAAGGGATACACCAGGAGGTTCGCACGTATGTGAAGCATCCTTGAGCCCTACGTTTTCAGCAGAATAGATGTGCATATGCGCTGAATTTGATCCAATTCTGGTTATTGACTTCATTGTTTTTTTTGTTTTTTTAACTCGTTGTTGAATTTCAACTTTTCATCGATTGATAGAATTTTCACATGATCATCGAGGGACTCCAGAAGTATGCAATTCTTTCGTCTTCGGTAGGTTCGATCTTCTGAGGGGCGAAAGAAACTAACAAGCAAAAAAAATGTTCTAGAACCCGGGTGTAGTGGTGACTCTGGTTCCAAATTCTGAATGGCTCAACCTTCCGGGGGCCGATGAATATCCCTCAAGGCTAGTATGGGGAGTTATGTATACTATCGATCCCAATCATGCTGAAGAAGTGCATGCTTATTTGGATGAACGCGAGAAGGATGGCTACGAGTTAATGGAAGTAGATGTCTTTGTGATTAAGGATGGCCAAGAAGAATGTTATGGGAAGGTACATACGCACTCTCACACATAACTAAATTTCTGAGGAACATCCTTGACTTCTCAACCTTCAAACTTTCTTCGTCCGATTTTTTTTCTTTCTGCAGTCGAGTATTTATGTAGGTCATACTACAAACCCGAGTTTCTGTAGACCTACTAAGCTGGAAGAACTAGCCTCTCGAATTCATAAGAGCATCGGACCTTCTGGTCCAAACAAAGCACGTCTCCATTCAACTTTTTTTTTTTTTTTTTTTTGACCACGTCCTTAACCAATAAAAATCTATAGACAAAATCATCACGACTAACCATAGAAAAACCCCTTTGGTTCTGATCTTGATTTTGAAATAGGAGTATCTCTATCATTTGAAACGAGAAGTTGAAGCTTTATGTCCCGAAGCAAACGACCCATACCTCAGCGATCTTGAAGGCTTAGTCAAGCAGCTAGATCAGACATCCTGTTCTTCAGCATTGAGAGATTGAATTTTAATACATTCCTCGTAGTGTCACCCATGTTTGGATAGGATACGAAATACATCAAGTTTTTTCTTTCGATACTTTTTATGCATAGATCAATGCTCAAGCAATCCCAGATTGAGTGGCCATCGATCATGTTTGTACTGAGGCTTAGTCCTCCAAGTTATGTGTTCAAGCTGTTTTTCACCTCGTTTTTTTTTTTTTTTTTGGTTTTCTTGAAAAGAAAAAAGCGGCTAGTTTTCTTTATCTGTTAAATGATTTTTCTTTGCAAGACCATACACCAACATGGGAGCGAATGAAACAGACTCGAAAGAAAGAGACACACGGGGGAAGACCACAAAAGAAT